TTCAAGATAGCAATCAACAAGGCAAGTCTAATTTCCATACGATAATGCTTATTCAACTGTAAATTGGAGCCATGCAAATTGGAGAGGCAAATATAAAAGCAATCACACAATAGCCGAGGGCCTCAATTAACAAACAAAGCAAGCAAAGAGAAAATCAAGCAGAATAAAAGACTTTGGCAATAAGCACCCAAGTAATTGAGCAATAGTAACAAAGGAAGGCAACACATGGATTCAACCAGGAAAGGAATCAACCAAAACCAATTCACAAACAATAACTCTTAGCCTCAATCATACCTAGAACCAAGGAGCCTAAAAGTCAATTCACACCTAAAAGCTAACACACACAGCCTCATATATAATACCTAGAAACCTATACTTAGAATCCCATTAGAAGACAAGTAAAAGGCTGCTCATACAATTTTTAAAAATCAAGTTAATCCAAAACAAGTCCCAACATAGTCAACCAAAAGCATTAAATCAAAAACCCAGAAGCCAAATAAAAAACTCCAACAAATAGAAGCAAACAGAAACAACAAAATAGAAATCAGTCAACATCAATCCATACAAAAATCATAAAAAAGCAAAAAGTTGACAATAAAGGAATTTTTTTAGGTTTCAATTTGATTTTTTTTAGAGTTTTTGGGTTTTAAAATAGAGATAGAAAAATGAGAAAGGAAATGCTGCTATAGGAGTAAATTTCTGGCATAAGCTACGGTGGCACAAGGTGACGGCAAGTTACTGGAATTTGGATTGGATCGCCAGTGCTTTGGTGTTTTGAAAAGGCAGCCGATTGCTTTGGTTTTTGGATGGTTTAAGAGAGAAAAAATGGATCTGGCATCAAGAGATGGGGAAGAGAAGAAAATTAAAAGAATGAATAAAAAACCAAAACTTGTCGTTTTGGTGTAGAAGAAGAATGGAAAGAAGAACTACAAGCCCGTGTACCTTTATGACCCAATCTGTTGACCCATCTGTGACCCTTTGTCAACCCAACTTTTTTGGCTATTGACTTTGGTTGACTAGGATCAATTTTTTGGTTAAAGTTTAAAGTTTTTGCTTGAACCTGGTGACCCACGTGAAGATTTGCACTTTTATTAGATCCGATCGCAAGTGTTCTTTTTTTCTTTTTTAATTTTAATTTTTTGATTTTATTTTTTGATTTATTTTATATTTTTATTTTTATTTTATTTTTAGTTTTATTTATTTATTTACTTTACTAATTTTTATTATTTATTTATTTTTATTGAGTAGCTTATTATTTGTTAAATATTTTACCAAATTCTTTTTTATTTCTAGAAAATAATAACAAAAAAATAATAATAAATTTTTTTCAAATAAATTCATGAATCATACTAAACTATTGCAAAATTTTCATGAATTTAAATTTTATGAAATATTCCACCAAACCATTTGAAAATTTCATAGAATCAGTTTTCAAAAAGAAATATTTATATCCTTGGAGGATTGCATCTCAAGTTAAATCTTACCAAACTATTAGAAGATTTAATGAATTTTTTCAAAATAAAATTTTATAAATATTTTATAATAAAATCTCACCAAACTATTGAGAGATCTGCATTAAAGTAAATCTTACCAAATTATTAGAAGATTTTACTAATTTTTTTAAATAAAATATATTAATAAATCTGAAGACGGAACCTTTTTAGAGTGGAACACTAATCTTCATGAATACTCCTAAGCTAAAAAAATTATCTTAAATTGCTACCAAACCCTTAAGACAATTTTAAGACTAATTTTTAATATTAAATATTTCGATAAATTACAAACATGATTAAGGCTTGGATAATCTGAAATCAGATTGATACCATCATTTGAATGAGCGTTGTGAGGGTATTGTAACATTCCTCACACATAAGTGTACTTTCGAATCTAAAATTTGATTTCGTGGATTAGAATCTACTATTTAAAGATACCTAAATCAACCTTAAGACTCTTCTTTAAATGAGACAAATTCGATTAGGTGACTAATCACACTTAAATAAAAAAAAATTGATGATGACTCCTTAAAATTATATCTAACGATAAGTTCATAAATCTATACGTTATGACATAAGATCTTGCGAACTATACCATGTTGAAAATTGTTATAATGAGTTAGTTCATAATGGCTAGCAACCCATGGATTAACCCCCTCTATTCAAAATTTGGATCAAATTATACTATCTATTACTATATTTTGATTAAATAATAAATTGATCTTTTTATTTTTAATATATTAAAATAAATCCATATTTATCAATTAAAATAATATTATTTGAATACATTAAGATAAATAAACTAATTTCATTTGATCAAAATATAAAAACTTACGGTAAAATTCCACTTAAGCAATGCTAGTCATACTCATAGTCATACTAGCATCAGCAAGGCCCAAAAGAATTGGGACGAGACTGAGTGAATTAATAGCACCTTTACCTAATGACCCATTAGGCAGCTACTCCTTGTATAGCCCGCCCATAAGCAGTCTTTCATAACTCAAAGCATCATCCTCCAAAGCCTAAACAGAGGCAGCTAACAGGCCGGAGAGAAAACAGAATCTTGTTCCAATATGGAGAGTTTTTAAAATCAAACCTCTAATCGACAGCAAACACGAAGACCCCACATTGTCCTCAACAAAATCCACTGAATTCCCTAAAGCAACGATAAAGAGCAGCCAACGTTTCTGAATATTTTAAAGAGGCGTGAGAGATTTGCTTTGTTCACCAAACCAAACCCACAAGCCAAAGAGAAATACAAAAATCCATGGTGGGATATTGAGTGGAAAAGGGAATTCAATTCTGATAGGGAACAGTAGTGTAGAATGATCTTCAACTAACTTGGATGACAACAAGGGTAAATGGCAATGATGATGGTGGGGAACATCCTTCTCTTCTCCCTCCCTAAAGACAAGAAAGCATAAAAAAAATTACCCAACTTGCGGGTTACCATCATGATTTAGGGCGCAGAATCTTGCAACTCATGACAATTATGCCAAATGTGAATGCTTGTTGATTCTTGTAGATTATGCGTACATATGAAAAATATGACCTTAAGGATGTATATTATTATAATATATATGCTGCAATGCATATGGTAGACAGAGTCAGCCCAAACCTTTTGCTTTCTATCTAAAAATAATATTAATAGTTAGTTTAAGCAGGACAAGGTCTCCAACGGATGACGTGCATGCCATAAACATGGGATGGAACTTTCAGAAGTAATGGAGTATTACGAAACATTGAAGTAGTTTTAAGAATCTGATATATCATGATAGTTAGCCATCATATAAAAAAAAATTCATTAGAAGCAGCCGGGAAATGTACATTGCTTATGTTATTAAAGTTTCAAATTGTAACTTGATTAAAGCATAATTTAACTATATATATTCAAATCAATATACAGATGAATTCATACATTGTTTGATAATCATAATAATGCCACTTTCTTTTTGTTTGCTTACTTTTTTTTTCTTACTACTTTATATTTCATGTCAAAAAGAAAAAGAGATGCTACTCCAAAGTTATATGCTTAAGGATACTTTTGTTTCTTTTGGGCTATTCGTTTCTCCTTTCACTATGACTTTCAGCTGTAAAGACCATTAAAAAGAAGGGCTAAGGCACCCAAAACCCATCTCTGCAAGTCAAACCTTTTAGAGGTAAGACTTGGACTCCTTGCTTCCAGCTCCAAAAATGTAGATCGTTGGACCTCTTCAAAGCTATAGCAAAGGCTCCCAAAGCCATTACATGCGTGGCCACAGCTCACCACTGCCTTTGCCTTGTAAAAGAACCGAATGACTGACCTAGCAGATCTTTTAAGACCATGTGGAAAAGTGAAGTAGCCTCTCGTTTCTAACAAACAGCTTACGTTTCTTTTTTGGCCCTTTTCCCTTCCATTTTTTTCTTCTCTTTTTGGAGGTTTCTCGTCACCCTCGTAATGTCTTCTGTGACATAATCCCCGTCAAACAATCTCTGCAATAAAAGAGCTTTCATTCTTTTCCTATTCCAGGCGCCTCCCATCCGGCGTGCCTCCCTGCCTTTCAATTTCGCAATAAATTTTGTATTTCTCGCTCAAGTTGAAACAAGACATATGCATGTTTTAATTTGTAGATTTTAAGTGGTTTTATCCAGAATGTGCTGATCTTTTGTCAGACAAAAAGCGGAAATGAAGTTGAAACATGAAACTATTTGAACAAAGTTCATATTCCTTCCATCATGTTTGAGTGGTGTAGTTACTTATTGTTGAATAGGGGCGTTGAACTTGGAATTGGAAACGCCAAGAACCAACCATAGTTCAAACAATTTTAGCTGACATAGACCTTGAATAAAATAGTACTATTAGCTAAGTTCAATTTCCGACATTTCTCCAACATTTCAGAGAGCTTGAGTTGACTTCAAAACCCACCACAAAAATGCAAGCAATATCATCCCCACAATTTCTCAGGGTTGCCTCCAATCATTTTCAAGTAGACCTAATTAAAAGAAATTGTTTGTTGGATGAATATAGCTACCGCGTAATGTAATTGTAAAAAAAAAAAAACCAAAGCCATCGGGCATGGTCATACTAAAATAATAGTACCTCATCCAAAGTCCAAAATCATGGTTGATTAAAAACTTTTTTTTTTTTTTTGAAGAAAACTTAAAAACTTTAAATACTAAAATTAGCAGCAAATAATTATACGAAGATGCCAAATTGTCCTATAAATAAAGGGGAAGATATGTCCAAGGCAATAGTACTGTACAAAGTTAAACCTGATACTGGTCCAAAGTAAAAAGGCAAACGATAGGAAACTACAAATATGAGAACGGCGGTGACAGAGGCTGCGCGTGGGGCAAATGTAAATCCATGATCCAAAATTGGCCGACAAGTCTAAAGGGCTAAAAAAGCTGAGTCCAATGACCGCAAATCTGAATTTATAACAGTATGTATTTTCTGTATAGTGGTCTAAAACTATACACTTTTTACAGAGTAATTGCATCATTCATTTGCACATAACATTTGTCTGTCTTTCTCACTCTCGCAAGCCCCGTCATGTGCTCTACCTGTATATCCACGCAAACAATTCCTTTGCAAGTAAAAACAACTATATCCACGAAATAAAAACACTGTTCAAAATCAGCAAAGCTCTCTCTCTCTCTGGTCTATTGTTAAAAAGTGGAAGAAAAAGCTTACCTCACTCTCCGCTCACCCTGAAGCACCATTTTCATTTTCTGTGAACACACACATGAAACGGAGCGCAAAGTGTCTCTCTTGTTTTGTTTTTTTCTCAAACTAAACTACTCCTCTCCTATAAAATAAAATTAAAACCCACCAAACAAAGCCCTAGAAAAATAACACTCGTCTCTCTTAGATTCTTTCGTTCCTCTGTCTCTCGCTTTCCATTGCCATGGAAGCTCTCAATTTTCCCAGGTTTTGGAAACCTAGCTATGGCGCTCACAAAAAGAACCAAGCTCAACCTTGTTATGGAAACAGCGGCGCCACCCAGAATCCAAAGTCTTTGATTGTTTCAGATCATGAGTTGGATGAAGGGGAGGACTCTTTCATCGACTTGGAGCTTCCTTTGCATGAGTTTGACGACAAGGCAAATGTCCACGGTAACAGCCATGATGAGAACGATGTCAAAGGCAAGAAAAGATTCGACTCCAAGGAGGAGCGACCACTCCATGAACCGGCTAAGAATGGTGGTGATAAAGAGCTCGACTTGTCACGGCAAACTCGTTCTTTGTCTCCAAATGATCACTTCTCCAAACGAAAGATCATACCCATTGAGCCAAGCTCTAAGCCTCAATCTCCCATAGCTCTGTTAAAATCAGCTCCAAAATTTCGAATCTTTACTCTTAAGAAGTCAAAGTCAATGGCAAATACTAGTAACACATACATAGCAGAGAAAACAGAGTTCATCGGTATTTCTATGGGGACCCCAAAGCATGAAAAGCAAGGCAGCAGCAAGCATTTCAAAGTTAAATTCAAAATTGAGGAGTCTCCAAATCTCCCAATCTTCACCAGAGAAACTAGTTTACGGAAAACAAACGGGAAAATAGAGGACTCGTTATCAAAAAATTCCTCAAAGAGATTATCGAAAGATCGGATACAAAAATACCTCAATAAAATCAAGCCATTGTACGTAAAAGTCAGTCAACGTGACAAGGTCTCAGGTGACTTATCAACGTCTTCTCCAGCGGCTTCTCCGGCAACGATATATTCCATTAAGGAGAAACAGGGGGATCTTTTGACGGGGGTTAGAGGGGTTTGCAAGCAATTGGGAAAGAGCAGATCAGCCTCGGCTGCAGCATTGTCCGTTAGTAGGAGAGATGATTCGCTTCTACTGCAACATGATGGGATCCAAAGCGCCATTTTACATTGCAAGAAATCTTTCAATTCATCGAGAGGTACTATTTATAGTTAATTAATTGGTTTTAAGTTAATCATAAACTTTGGGTTTCATTTGGAATTCGATCCTTAGCTTGTTTCTCTTGTTTTGGCAGCAGAATCTTCTTGGTTGTCCAGATGTACAAGTGATTCTTCACAGGGGAAGTTAAGCAATGCATCTTCTACAGGTATGTCTTAATCTTATTTACTATTATTTGCACTAGTTATTGAGTGTTAAAAAATCTTAAATCTACTTCTTAAGTACTAATTAAACCCTTTTATTTTCCTCAGATTCTTCTCTTTTGTCACGAGTTAAAAGCAATTCTTCATACGAGAAACTGATGGATTCCGCAAGAATATCCAGCGAAAGAAATGCCTTAAAGCACCTGAAGCACTAGAAAACGCGGAAAACAAAATGTCGTTAATCAAAAGCTATAGAAAGGAAACAATGGATAGAGACTTTGTTTTTTATTATAATGATGTAAAAGAAATGAAAGCGAAAAAAAAGAATATAGAGAGAGGCAAGGATTTTTGTTTGATTGTTAGCTATGATGAGCAGTGAGCAGAGTAGCTTCAATTATGAAGGTGATGGGCAATTATGAAGGAATTGGAAGTACTCTATGTATGTGGATTTTTGTTTTCTTTGTGTTAAACTATGCTTTGGTCTTGTTTTTTGCAATTATCCATTATGTTACCTTTGAGAGGTGAGCTGATCATATCTAAGATGTGATCATTACTGGATTTGAAGGACCTGAAATGACTTGACAGTTTTCTCCACTTATTCCTTGTTTCATTTTCTTGGGTGATTATTTGCCTTTTTCCAGGACAATTGGTAGTTTCTGGTGGGAATTTGGTGGGAAAGGGGAGAAGTGGGACAAGGATGGAATGAGAATATTAACAATATTTAAACAATTTTGCTACTTCAAATCTTCCCTGTTCTAACAACAAACATCGATTCACACATGAAATTTCGGTAGAAAAGCAAGCCAAGTAAGTGATGACTAATGCAAGTTTGAACAGGAAACCAAAGCCAAACCATGTATATTTTAAAAATCTTGGTTCTTTCTTTGAAAGTTAAAACACAAAAAAATGAAAGGGGATCATATGATAATATCTCTGCAGTTGCATCCTGCTAAAAAGTACTTTTCAACGGTTGAGAAAGCAGTTCACCCCTTTGTGGTTAAAGTCATTTCATTTCATTCAAAAGTTAAAAATAAAACAAAAAACAAAATCAATTGAAACAGACGCTCTGAGTCTCCCTCTGGCTAGCCGTCCTATATGCAGATGGTACGTTGAATATTCAATCTGCCTACCCGTTGTGGCAGCCAGGAAACTACCAATAAAGTTCACCTGTGACAAGTATAGTCTCATATATTCTTGTGCCATTGAAGTTGAAAGTTTTATGTCTCTGTCCACCGTATCCATGGTCTATTGAGATCTGATATCGTCGTTGATATGGTTCCTCAGAAAGTATGCCATAGTGATCATACCCTGGACAATTGTTTCCCACAAGTCCTTTGTCTATATTCTGATTTTTCTTATCCAACTCACTCAGGAGTCAGAACAATCATTCATTTCAATCATTTCTCATCAGTGATTCAAATTGTCTTTAGTATTTGGCAGATCTACCGGTTTCCTCTCTTCTACTTGGATTTCTAGTAAAAGTTGCAAGATTCAATTCAGTATTGGATAATTTGTTATACACTTACAATGCTGTATTCCTGGAATATAAAATCTCAGAATGAACATTATATGTAAAAGGTAGACGCTAGGCTTATATACAAAAAAAAAAAAAAGAAAAGGAAAAGCCTTAGACTCTTCTTATTCTCCAAGGAAATGAGACCATAAAGTATAAAAAAAAAATCTCCTTACTGATATAGTTCATTCAGTATTGAAGAATGACCTGTTAAGATTTGTAAAAGAATTATTGCAGTTGCAACTACTTACATACTTAATTTGCAATGTCAAAGAAAGTTAATCAGAGACAAGAAAAAGAACACGATGAATCCGTGATGTCTGAAATTTCAATAAAGGTCGTAATTTTGTTTGGAGTCATAAATGAATCGAGGACCAAGCTCTTTGTGTGCAACAAGAAATAAACCAAAATTTTCAAGGCACACTCATCATAATGACAGGAAAAGCCAAAATGACCACAAAAACAAAGCGCCCACTCCCTCATTTGCAGACTCCACAGTCCACAGTGCCCCACAAAATAGCTTGGTCCGGTACTGACAGGGTAATAGTGTCGGCCTCTACTTCACACAGTTGACACCAACAAGCCAAGACCCATAAATATTATAAGCGGGCACTGCCTGCATTAAAGATGGTCTAAAGGCCTTTCTATTCCAGCTTATGACCTATCAGTTGTCTTCAATTTATATTTGATGTAGACTATTGTAGTTCAGCTATAATTTGAGGAATTCATATATAGAATGAACTATATCACCAGCGCTTATGGAAGTCTAAAGCTAATAAATCCGAGAATTAGATTGTTCATTCATCAGGATCAACCTAGGAGTGACATGATTTTGTGACCAACAACCAAAAGGAAACACCTTCAGTCCGATTTGATAGCATTTGTCAAGCTTATTGGTCACAAACACAAGGAGAGCAATGTTCTGCAAGGGATTTTTGTGTGTCTAATGGCTACACATTATGTTTTTTTGTTTTTTCCCCACCAAGAAAAAGTAGAATGAAAAGAGAACAGTAACTATGATTTTTGAAAAGGGTTTCTATTCCATTTCAACTTTACCTGAACAGGTTTCTGGATTCTTCATCGAAAGGTGTTGGTTTCATCGGACTAACAGGTCATCAACTAATGAGGAGAGTTCTGTGTACGAAGCTAGACAAAGCATGGAATGCCGGCAAGGGTTACAGCTTATAAATTACTTTCTTGAAAGTGCCAAAATTGATTTATTTCTTTCAAAGAGAGGAAAATCGAACAGCAACGCAACGAGGAGACAATACACGACAGAGAACCGGCACAACAAAAGAATTCGTACGAGGCCCATAAATTTGCCTTGTTTCTTCTGCTGATCATATGTCTCTCTCTACTCTTAAATCCTGATGTAACATTTTAGGTGCCGTTTACCAGCAGTTGCATTAGGCCACGATAGATGTTGGAAGTTTGGGATCCTGATGGACCCATTTTCTCAACATTAGCATCTTTGTTAGGAAACATAACATCCTCCCGGAACATGAGTAATCTGCTTGAGTTCGCTGGATCTGTCCTTTATTAGGTTGTCTGCAACATTATGATTTATATTTGTACCCTTTCATCATTTTTGGGCCAAAGAATTGTTAAAAAAGGTTAAATCAATATTAGTGGGAATGGGTTAGGCCCATTGAGTTAACCCAAGGAGCAATCCTCTTCTTTTTTAATTTTTTATCCCTTTTCTCTTATTCGTTATACAAAAATCCAGGAACTAGAACGTCTGCTTCTCTGCTAATACTATCAAGCTTATCCTCTATTGTAGAGGCAAATGATGAAGCGATCGTTCATCATTGAACCTGATTTTATATATATTTTTTCTGGTAAAGGTTAAAGATTATGTATTAGTGTTTAACATTCTAGGAGTTAAAAAATAGAAATGTGGAAGCGTTATTATGCAAAAAAAAAAAAAAATTATAATATGCGGAATAAAAAGAGTAAATAGAAACCTTTAATTCAATTTAATTATCATTAATCGATATGATTAAGATCGATTTTCCGTGAAGAGTAAGGTAAACATGACAAAATCTTCAACCATCAAATAAGAAAAATAGTCAGCATAGGTGGCGGTCAAGTGCTGAGTTGAAAAGTGCATCGAAGACTAAAAGCTAAATGTATTACTAATGATTTGTGACTTGAGGGAACACGTTTTAAAGCAAAAGGCTGCTTAAGTCCCGTCATCTAGAAACGCTAGAAATTTGTTAATTAATTACTATTTATTTTTATGCCCATTTGAATTTGCTCACTCCCCATTCCCATTGGGACGATTATTTGAACAAAATTTCATCGGCCGTTTTGAATTTAAATTTTTAAAATTGCCAGTATTTTTTATTCGATCTCTAATCATACTCATTCAAATGGAGGACAAATCTCCCAAGTTTGACATTCTTGCCACAATTATTGAGCTTTTACAGCTTGGGGATTTTCCAATTTCCAGCCCTCTCCTCTTTTCCCTACTGGCGGGCTATAATTTCAGATATGATAGCAACTCCATTGTCAGCATCCTGGATCATGCCCAAAGTCTGGTTTTATTGCCATTACTTATTAATGACATTTTTAAAAAATTTAAATTCTAGCTAATAATTCACAGTAAATTTGACTCAATATTAGCCAGTCTGGAATTCTTGCATCAACAAATTACTGCATCCCAAAGAATGTCTTAGTATTTAAATAAGATGAGGTTTTCACTAGCAATCTAAATATTAAATTGATTAAAGGATGTAAAAAATATAATATCTCATTAAAACCATGATAAAAAAAAAATGCACTTCAGGCACTACCATATCAACAAACATATCTCCTTTGGTGCAAAAAGATAAAAGACAAAGAAAATAAAGAAACCCCATAAGACTGCAACAAAAGTAAGTAAAAAAAAATCCAAAGGCAATCAACGGAGCTAGTTGCACATAATATTTCCTAGTGTTCTCAAGGCAATGTTAATTTCCATGGTACAATTCATTTGGGCTGACTTCTTCCTCTTGATCACCTTCATCAGATGAATCTTCCCATCCAGCTTGGAGTAGCTGGTCAGGGGTAGAACTCCCGAACTAATATCCCTTCCCAATTCAATAGTATTTGACAAACTGCTCGACCTCAACTCCACCACAACATCAACTTTTTTGGTTGATCTAGCCCTGGTTCGAGCCTTATGAATAGTTGCCTGACCAACCGGTGTGCCCCTGTATGCAAACGTGACAGTACCAAGTTCATACTTAAAGTGACCAAAGTTTGTGTTCTTTACCGTGAATTGAGTATTCATTCGCAAATCAAACGAAGGGGAAGCTTCGGTTCCAACATTAAATATGTCAACAAATGACCCTGATCGCACTCGGAACTTGGGATTTCTGATACGCATAACCGTCAATGCAAAGAGTAATATGATTCCAGTCTGGAACACAGCAAACAATACAATATACAACAGACACTTCATTCGTTTCTTTTTCTTTAGCTCTTTCGAGTCAGGAGCCACAACAGTCTCTCCGTCACTTCGTAAATAGCCATTACCCGCTACCAATGGATATGGGGATTCACTCTTCTCTGCCATTTTCTTGATGCTGATTCTAAAGCTGAGAACAAAATTTCCAAGAAATTTATAGAGTGAAGAATGAGATGATAAATATGGGGCATATTAACAAGTATTTATAGCCAAATGGTGCAGCAAGAAAAAGATGGGAATTGGGACATGATAGATTTGAAATAACTAGTAGAGGGAATAGGCAAATGCTTTGCTTTGAAAAAAATGATGCAACCGGACACTTCTTCTAGTATTATGCTTTCTTCACACTTGAACGCGCTAGGAGGGTAGGCGGCCTTCGAACCTTGACTTCATTGGTTCATGTATTATGTTGCAATTGGATGAGTACCTGATTTTTGTTTTACTTTCAATAGTAGTATAACTTTCAGCTTAGCTAATGAAAAAGGATTTTTCTTACCACTCAAACATATTTAATACTTATATTCCCAAATTTATTAGTAATTTTTTTAGCATATTGTTAAGTACAAAAGTGAAGAGAAAAAGATCAAAAAATAATATATATAAAAAAAACTAAACACTTTAAAAAAAGAAAATAAAAAAAATAATAAGTAAACGAAATACAGGTGAATCCAAAAGTGTAGCTTTTCGCATTATAAAAATGTTAAAGAAATAATACAGTATCAGATCGCTTTCACTGGTACTTGATTGGCTGCTTTTGTTCGTATCCATTGATGATTCCTGCGGACTTTAACGGTGGCCTAATTATGCTTTGGCCAATGACTTTACCAAACTGACGTGTTCATCTAGAAGCCGGAAAGTAACGTGTTTTTTATTTTCCTTTTGTGTGTGTTCATAGGGAAGTGATGTGTCGTGACTTTGTAATTTTTTTCTTTTTTTCAAACGAGAAGGAAAATGCCACGAACAAGGGCAGGTGCCAGGTAGTGACACCTTTTTTCCACGTCAGAATTCACATCCTTAAAAAAAAGACATCAAAATTGAGGTTCATCCTCAACTTTTTTCGACTTTATCTTTTTGAATGATAAAAAATATATATATTTTAAGCATTTAATGAGTTACGTAATTTATCGGTAGAATATTAATTTTTTTATATTATATTAATTTTTATAATTTTAAATATAAAAAATTTATTCTAAATAATAAAAAATAATTTTTTTGGATTAAACCTTGAATAACAAGTACTTCACCAACGCGACTTTTTTACTTAATGATTTATATTGTACTGTTGTAACTATAGTTTGGTTTATTGTTTTTTATTACTTTCCACACCATTTTTTTTTTATTTTTCCTTTTTTTATTACTTAATGGTTTATATTGTACTGTTGTACGTATAGTTTGGTCAACGGCGAACGAAGCTCTTCGCCAGAGAAGCACTTTCGTGCAGCTGGTTAGCAGATCTGGCGGCCGCCGCCTCTTATCGGCTTTCCGTCGCCAAAATACGGTAACCTGGAACAGGGTTTCAAGGCTGCCAGTCAGATCGCGTCCCCTGAAAGGTTTTTGGCGCTGCCATCTGCCCATCTGGAATACCTTTATGGCGTTCTGTACGGCCAAAATCGCTTCGGTGCTAGATCTGGTTTTACCAGCATCTAGATCCAGCTGCTTGGTGCCCTTTTTCGGCTTTTTGTTGCTAGTTCTAACCCTAGGATTCCCCTTCCAGATAACCAAAAGAGCTATGAAGTCTCATCTATAAATCAAAACCGAATCGGACAATGACCCGTTTAAAATTTCGGGTCACGAGATAATAGTTCATACGTCGGATTATTTAAGTCAATTATTGAATTAAAAAAAAATTAATATTTTAAATAAATAATTTAGAAATTATTAAAAAGAAAAAACAAAATATTAAGCTCTTAAGATTGAAAATAAGGATATGTTCAGGACTTGTGAAAATTTTATAACAAAAAATATTGAATTCCACAACGTTACTTGACAGTAATTGAATATTTTTCATGAATAAAAAACCAATTTATAATTGTTAACAACGATCAAAAGAAACTAAATAAAGTTTGATTTTTTTTTAAAGGCAATAAAGTTTGATTCTTGTAGTCTTAAAATCCAATTTAGTGTTAATCATTTTAATATATTCTCTGGGTTTCATTTTTTTTTTTCTATTTTTCTTAGAAGCCCTAAAATTATATATATTTTTAAATATTTAAAACTTTTTTATATTTACAAATTATTTTTTAATTTTTAATATTAAAAATATTAAAATTTTAATATTAAATTTATTTTTTTAATTTTATGAAAATAAATAACATTCAAATAATTTGAGATAAAAAAAAATATTTTTATTTTTTTCAACGTTAATTATCAAATAGCATTAATCTCGAAAATGGAAAAATCATTAAAAAAAGGTAAGACATAAATGCTAAGTAAAAAATTCTGTTGCTTTAAATGCCATTCAAACGAAATTCATCGAAGGTGAAACTCTCATGGGTTAACTTTTTCATTTCGTTGATTAAAAGGAATAAACAAAATTTTTTTAAATGAAGTTTATAAAATTTTTTATTAAAAATAATTTTAAAAAAATTTAATAAAAAATCAAATAATAGAATAATAAATTGATAGATTAAAATAAAAAATTTAATAATATATTAAAAATATTAAATATAATAAATATAATTAAATTTGATCAATATTTATTTAATAATAAATTTTTATTTAAAATATTTATCTAAAATTATATTAAAATTTTATATTCTTGATTTATATAATAAAAATTTTAATCTATCATTTTTATTTTAAATATTAATTTTTATGTAATTCATTTTATCCAACAAACTTCATGTAAATCTTTCCTTTATTAAAAACCAATGGCTCCATCCGATTTTTGGTGGGTCATCTACACAAATGGTCTGATATCAAGATTGAACCGGGTGAAATACTGAGTCAGTGAATCAACCAATCCGACTAGATCCGATTTTAAAAACTATTGTCTAAGCACGCTCTTGGAACGGTTTTTTATTTTTATTTTTTAACGTAATGACAGTAAGCTGAGAAAAAGGTCTTTTTGCCTGTCCCTGGGCCTTTTGGGAGAGTGACCCAGTGGGGAGTGGGTCCTCAAGCCAATTTAGACTCAGACTCACTCTATATGTGATCCTGTTCTTGTTTCAGGGCCTAGCTAGATTAGGGTCCAAAGGAAAATGCAATGATAATGTATAACTCTTTAGTACATAAGTAAACTTGTGCAAAAATTATTTGAAAAAAAGTACAATATGTAAATATATGGTGAATTTTTATACTGAAATGATTGGGTGTTGAAATTCCTGGACGCCTGTCTGTGTCAGCTCTGTCATAATGTGGTGCATATGCCAATGAAAGAGAAAGTCACGGATTGGCAAATTGGCTGCAATTTAATTCAACATTCGTCGTCCAGTGTTGGGCGCAGCACACTCCATATAAAAAATCGAATTAAATTATATATATTTTTAACTTTTATATATATTTTAAATTTTTATAAATAAAAATAATTAGTTTATATTTAAATTTATTTAAAAATTTTAAAATTATATTAAAATAATATATATTAAAAAATTATTAAAATAAATTGATAAAATTTCATTAGATTTAAATTCAAATTAAATTTTAAAATATATGATTTTATATATTATTTAAAAATCAAATCAAACTCGATTTGATATGCTATCATCAACAAAGAGAAACAGCGAACTCATGATTAAATATTAGCTACGCTGATCTGATTACCTGTTTTTTTCTTTTTAATAGGAAATTCACCCCCCACCCCACCCCACCTGCACCGTCCAACTCCAATCCTTTCCAAACTAGCACATGTTTTGTCGTCTAATACTAAATAATTGTAGTGATTTGACCAAAATGCACGTCAATCAATAAACTTTACTCTTAAAAGAAATTATTGTCTCAAATTAACTTTTTCTTTTGTTTTTTATTTAAAATTTAAAATTTAATATTCTATTGACAAATTAAATTTATTAGTGATTGATTATTCTTTGCCTTCGTGTTTTTTCTTATCCTTTTTCTCCTCTTTTCAATTTCTGATCAAAGAGTTTTTGAGGTCTTGACTGTTAGGAATGAATGAGAATCATGGGTGCATGCCCTTTTTATTATTATTATTATTATTTTGTTTAAGTTACTTTTGTTTTCATTTTAAATAATTGATAGAAATTGAAGAGTGACCATTTTGCTGACTTTGATTTAAGTGGAATATTAACTGTGAACGATGCTTTGATTTAGTAAAAGGGTTAAATTATAAATGATTTTTAAATTATAATAAAATATTTAAATTAAATTTTTAATGTGATATTTAAATTATAAATTTATTAATTAATATAATATTTAGAGGATTGTTAATTTATTATATCTCATTATTTAAAGTTAATCACATTAAAAGTGAGTATCATATTAATTAATAGATTTATAATTCATATATTAAATTAAAATTTTTAAAATTTTAAATATTATATTAAATATTTTATTATAATTTAGGAATCATAGTAAAATGAAAAAATCTTTAAATCTTTAGATTTTATATTCAAATTCTATTAATGTGTGGATCGGTTTAATTTTAAGTTGAATTATATAATTATATGTTGATTAATAAATTTAATTTAATAATTTTTTATATAAACAAATGTTCAAATTGTAACTTCGCTGAATAATAGTTTATCTAATAATTTATCTACGTATAGACAAATAATGTACAAAGTCACATAGCCTGCTCGACAATTGTCGTCTTCTTAAGTTTTCAGCTGTAGTTGCCAGCGATAACCGTGAACCTAGTAAAGCCAAATATCCTTTATCGCAACTCTATACGATATAATCCTAGAAAGGATAATTTTAGAAATAGAAGAAATTTGTAATTTTATTTTATTTTTATTTTTTTCAGAAAAAATGCATTGGTTCTTGATAAAATTAACTATGAACTCGGCAATTCTAACCTACAATTACTAGTTTACAACGTAATAATATGTTTGAAAATTTGATAGTTCCACTCTAGAATATCGCCACTTAAGCTTATGACCAAACACTTCGCAATTTGTCCTTAAGTTTGCCATCCTAATTATGTTTTATAAACTCTGATTAAACAAAACTACCAAGGGGCACCCCCCTCAAACTTTTTAATTCTCATTCTTCTTATCCTCCCCCAACATTATTCTCCAACTTGATGGAAACTACCATCAACCTATTTCTCTACATCCCATTCTCTATTTCCCAAAGCCTCTCCCTTCAACCAATCCCTCCCCCTCCTCCATGGAAGACCAATCCCCAACCCCATCCCCCCACCGCCACCATCACCTCCGCTCAATACATATACGTTAACAGCATCTTCAGTGTCTTACACCAAATTGACCACAACAACACCTACTTCCCTTACTGGCTATTTCCTTTTCAAACCTTGCACTTCAACGCCCCCAACTTACATCCTCCGGGATGTCTCCTTCACCGCCAACCCCTCACAAATCCTTGCCATTGTTGGCCCAAGTGGAGCCGGAAAGTCCACTCTCCTCGACATTCTAGCAGCGCGAACATCACCAACAAATGGCACTCTTCTACTCAATTCCACTCCGATAAACTCTTCTTCATTTCGAAAGCTTTCTGCTTATGTTCCTCAGCATGACGCATGCTTGCCATTACTCACTGTAGCTGAAACTTTTGCTTTTGCTGCTCGGCTTCTTGTTCCTAAAACATCAGATATTGGCACCATTGTCACATCTCTTCTATCAGAGCTAAGGCTAACGCACTTGGCTAATACCAAGCTCGCTCATGGGCTGTCGGGTGGTGAGTGCAGGCGTGTTTCAATAGGTCTAAGTCTCCTCCATGACCCTTCTGTGTTACTACTTGATGAACCCACTTCAGGCCTTGATAGTACTTCAGCTTTCAATGTAATGCAGATCCTCAAATCAATAGCTGCTTCACGTCACCGCACTGTTGTTTTATCCATACATCAACCAAGCTTCAAGATTCTTTCCACCATTGATAGAATCCTCTTGCTATCAAAAGGGACTGTGGTGCACCATGGTACACTTTTTTCACTTGAAGCATTCTTGCAGTCCAATGGGTTTACCGTCCCTCCTCAGCTCAACGCCCTCGAGTATATCATGGAAATACTAAACCAGCTGCATGAGAGCAAACCAATTACACCGCCATCACTTCTTCCATCACCAGAAGACTCTGCAACTCCTAACAATAATGAAGCAAGTGATATCAGGTACCGAAGCTCAAGACTACATGAAATCTGCTCTTTATATAACAGGCTTTGGAAGATTATTTACAGAACAAGGCAGCTTCTTTTAACCAATGCATTAGAAGCTCTTATCGTGGGTCTTGTTTTAGGAACAATCTACATTAATATTGGTTATGACAAGGAAGGTATAGAAAAAAGGTTTGGTCTCTTTGCCTTCACTCTCACCTTCCTTCTCTCCTCTACAACTGAAACCCTTCCAATCTTCCTTAATGAAAGGCCAATTCTGCTGAAGGAAACTTCAAGTGGGGTTTATAGACTCTCGTCTTACCTCATAGCCAATACCCTTGTCTTCTTGCCATATTTGCTTGCCATTGCGATCATATATTCAACCTCTGTCTACTTCTTAGTGGGTCTATGTGCTTCATGGCAAGCTTTTGCTTACTTCGTTTTGGTCGTTTGGATCATAGTTCTCATGGCAAATTCTTTTGTCCTCTTCTTGAGCTCTCTTGCACCAAATTATATAGCCGGCACTTCACTTGTAACAATACTTCTTGGTGCTTTTTTCCTCTTCTCTGGTTACTTCATCTCCAAGGATAGCTTGCCCAAGTACTGGCTCTTCATGCACTTTTTCTCAATGTACAAGTACGCACTTGATGCCCTCCTTATCAATGAGTATTCTTGCCTTGTATCAAGGTGTTTTCTTTGGTACAATGAAACCAAGACTTGCATGCTAACAGGAGCTGATGTATTACAAAAGAAAGGGCTCCATGAGAGGCAGAGATGGACAAACATCTACATCTTGGTTGGGTTCTTTGTGTTCTATCGTGTGCTTTGTTTTCTGGTTTTGATCAGAAGGGTTTCAAGATCAAAGAAATGAAGACTATACAGAAATTAGGCATCAACTGTCACATTTAATTTTTTTTTTAAATTTTCGCCTTTATTTTCTGTGTTATGTCCCATTCCTTCTATCCCTTATTCACAAATCATAGTCACTGTAATGGCTGCTTTGGATATTTCATTTTATTTATCAAACAAGTAAAACTTCAAACTCAATTATGCTATAAATTAGGTTTGATTCTCCATGCATGTTAACATGGGGCAGATACTTTAAATTTGCCACCACATTGTTATATCTTTTTTCGATTTCTGATTTTTATTTTTTCTTTAGGTCTCGAAGGATGCCAGGAAAGTTTCAAATGGCCTGATAGCGCTAGCAAGCTCACAAGTTTATTACAAGATATGGCTTGAATCCTGGCATCATGACATCCTTTCATGTAATTTGTCCGGATTACTTTTCACTCCCAAATTCTAAAATTGACTTTCCTCTTTACATTTTCCAGCCTATAACATGCTATTCTTCTTGATAGGGGACCAATTAAAAGGTCTGGTTCCCAATTATCAACATCACAGTGATGGATATTCAAACGTAGCAAAAAAATTCTTTATTAATACTGCCATATACATGGTGCTGAAACAATATCTCATTTGTCTAACGCCCGATCAAAAAATTTTCAACTCAATCCGCAAATTCATCAGCCGGTACTGATCAGAATCAGAACAATGGGAGGGAGGGAGTCCATGTTTTTTAGCAGGAGCATTACAAGGCGACATATGGTCGATGAGTTGGCAAGAATACAAACAAAAAAAGTTGGCTTCACCCACTCGCATCTTTACTAAAGAATGTATCACGGGTCTCTATGTATTTATGATGCTAAAGCCTGAAAGTAAAGAAGAATCCAAGTAGTCGTCCTCGATATAAATAGGCTCTTGTCGGGTTGTGAAATGCGGGGTTGTGCCTGCTTTCTTTCGCTTGGAATCAGTGCATTATTCACGGGTTCTTCTCTTTTTTTTTTTTTTTACTCACATGTGGTCTCGTAATTATTGGTTTTCCAAGTCCATGCTCATTGCCTACATGTATATTAATATATATACGTACCTTCTGGTAATTTATTCGTGGAAATTAATAAGCATTAAAAGGAAATTTCGATTTTACCCAAATAAAAACACAAAAAAAAGTTAAATGCTCAAATAAAGATCAAATATTTGGATGGTTACTCAATTTAAGATCAAATTTTTTAATTCATACAAATAAAATAAAAATAAAAACATTATCAATTTGTAACAATGTAAAATTTATTTTAACGAAAAATGAGATGTGCATGTTATGCGTTATTATAATGCGTAGAAAAAAAATAGAAATCAACCGATTAGATAAATTCATGCTGTTTTGAATTTTTTTATTACTATTTTGAAAAAAAAAAAGAAACGAAAAGTTATTTAGGAAAAAAAACTTGCATTTAACCCAAATAAAAAAAAGCAAAAAATTTTCAAACCCAGAACAAATAATCTGTAACTCTATTCACTCAGATAAGTTATTTCAATTATTGATTCAATTTCATTTGTTAATTTTGATGAGGTAAGCATTTTTCAACAACTTATTTTAAGGTAACCAACATTCAGTTTAATTTATTATGCATCAAGAATTGATTCTATTTAGGGTTCAATCGTTTAGACTCCATAAATATAGAAGGTTGGTTGTTGTTGTTGTTAAATTTGTGAAAGGTGAATAATATATATGCATATTTTGGGTTTTGTTGTTCTTCATAGTTAGTCATTTTGTGGTTGAAGGTTTTTTTGTTATTTTTTAAAGTTATGCATATTTTGGTTTAGGATTTTTTTGTAGTTCTTCATTCTTAGGCATATTCTGATTTATAGTTTTCTATTGTTATTTTTAATTACTTAAATTTATATTTAAGGTTTTCTGTTGTTATTCTTAATTGCTCAAATTGTTCAAATTTATAGTTAAGGTTTTTTGCTATTTAGACATATTTTGATATATGGTTAATAGTAATTGTTTAATTGTTTATATAGCCTTTTGATTCTTACCCATCACATAGGCCTCCACCAGTGCTAGCATAAGTGATCACCCATAACTATTGCCTTAATTTATAGCATAAGTGAAGCCAATTAATCAGCATAAAAATTAAATGTTATTTCATAAAAAAAAAAAACCAACAATTCATGACAGCTATGATTATAAAAAAGGTTAAATTTAGGATTGAAAACACTTACAACTTAAATTTTGTTTAGTAATTAAACCATTATGTCAAAAGGTTGGAATTAAATTTTCACCTCACTACCTAACCAAAAAGATTTCAAAAATATACACCAAAAGCCTAACTTTCAAGACATCTCCTAAAATTTTAACCAAGTCCAATATAATTGTCAACAATAATAGTTCAAGAACAAAATTATGATAAGGATAGCCACTAAATCAGTCACAAAATTACCAGAAAGATAACTAAGCTTAAGTATAAGCATGATCACAACTTCAAGTCTATTTTATAAATTATCTTGCAAAAAACATTACCAAATAACAACATCAAGTCAATCATGTGAATTCTAATTCTACGAACAAAATAATACAAAAAAAATGCTAAACTTTTAAGCCAAGATATGCATATAAAAGACTTATTTAAGAGAAAATTGCATTTGAAAGAAAGACCCTTAGCTATTACAAAGTAAAAGTTTATAATAAAAATTTTATAACAATGTAAAAGCTTGTAACATAAATTAGATAATAATGTAAAGGACATGTACACTTAAACTAATTGTAATTTTCATTGTAAAGAATTTAGGGTTTCTTATACCACTTATAACACAAATTTTTATTAAAAATGATTTTTATAGCACTTATCAATTGTTGTTGTTAGAATTTAGGGTTTATTGTGATAGAATTTAATTTTTTTAATTTTGCAGTATAAGTTTTGATTATTGTATTCTACAATTTAACTATGCTGGGACTTTTATTGGTAATGGTCATAATCTAATGTAAATAAATAAGATAGTAGAGAACTTGACAGTTGATCCTGATAAAAAATTTTATTATGAGTTGTCAAGACATTTATAATGAGGCTAGCTATATGAATATTAGTGAGATATTGTATTTAAAATCTAGAAAAATACTAGTTGATAATCCGATGGTAGTAAATGATGATAGAAACACTCTTGATATTATTAGGTATATAATAGATCTAGGTGTAGTTGATGTGTACATAGTACATGGTATAGATGAAGCTATTTTAGCTTCTGAGTTGTTAATAGGACCTAAAATAGATGATATAATTGAGGTAGTATGGAATAAAAAGGTAAAAATCATGTAGTTGATGCGGTAGGGAATAAAAGGGTAAAAAATCAACATGTAAGTGAGGCAGTAGGGAATAAAAGGATAGAAATTGAAGAGGTTATTAAGGAAGTAAGGGTAGAGAATGAAGATGTAGCTAAGGTAAGAAGGGTAGGAATTAAAGATGATATTGAGGCAATGTGGGTAGGAAATGAAGATGTGATTGGGGCAAAAAGGGCAGCAATGGTAGAAAATAAAAATGTGGTTGGGGTAGAAGTTAAAAATGTAGTTGATAGAAATAGTAGTGAAAGAAATGACCTTGGAATAGAACCAGATTCAACCTTACCAATCAATGATAATGTTAATAAGGGATATCACAATGAGTACTATAACTTTGATGAGTATAGTGAGCCTGTTAGTAATGAGGATGAAATGATTAATGATGCTACTAGGATGAAAAGAAAGTTTTCAGTGCATGATCCCAATGTAAAAGCCCCTTACATTGAGTTACAAATGTTGTTTAAAAATTTCAAACAATTTAAATATACAATGTCCTTACTGTCTATTAAGACAAATAGAGGTATCATTTGGGTAAAGAATTATAAAAATTTGGTTAAAAGTAAATGTGCTACAAAACAATGTCCTTGGGTAATTTATGCAAGGTAATTTATGCAGCATATGACAGAAAGTTATAATCATTTCAAGTGAAGACTTACAATAAAAATCGTGAATGCAATAAGGTTTTCAAAAACCCAAGGATGAGTTAAGTTGTTTTGGTTGAGTTGTATACAAACAGATTTATAAAGGATCTTTTTATTATGAATGCAGAAGTGCAAGAGTTAGTTAAAAAAGAGTTTGATACATGGGTGAATATTAGTATAATAAGAAAGGCTAAAAAAATTTGGCTGATAAAGTTATTACCAATTAAAAGAATGAGTTTAGTCTTTATGGGATTATGCTGATGTGATTAGAAAAACTAAATAAGGTTGCACAGTAAAGATGCAGGTTTATAGGCCATTACCAAGTTCTTCACCTATATTTGAAAGGTATTACATATGTTTCAAGGCATTTAAAAAAGATTTAGAGAATGGTTATTGGCTTAAAAGTTTAACAAAATGTGAGTTATTATGTGCTGTTAGTAAAGATAAAAATAATCAAATATTTCCAATGGCTTAGGCGTCGGTGGAAGTGGAATGCATAGCTTTACGAAAATGGTTTCTTAATTTGTTGACATCAAACCCAATGTCTTTAGAAAATAGTATAGGATGGACAATCACAACAGATCAATAAAAGGTAAATATTTATATGCTAATTTGATTTAAATTATGTACTAAATACCTTAACTAATTATTAATTATTTTCAGATGTACTGAATTGTTGAAATTAAATTAAATTATGTACTAAATACTAACTAATTAAATGGTGTAAGGCCTTGATAATGCAATTGTAGAATTGCTTTCAGATGCTGAACATCGATTCTATGCTAGGCATGTATATGTTAATTGGACTAAGAGGGGATATAGGGGTAAGGAGATGAAAATGACTTTTTGGACAATTGCTAAATCTTTAACAATCGACAATTTAAAAAAAAATTAGAAAATTACAAAAAAAAATGAGACTGCAGCTGTAGATATAATAAAAGCCCCATCTCAGCAATGGTGTAAAACTTTTTTTAATGCAGACTCTAGATGTGAGTTAGTTAACAACAACTTATGTGAGATATTCAATAGGACATTGCTAGATGCAAGGAAAAAATCAATCATTTCTTTTTTGAAGACATAAAAAGGTCTCTGATGATAAGAATTGGAAAGAAAAGGAAAGAATACTTTAAGTGAAGAGATGTGATTGGACATAATATTATAAAAGTGATAAAAATAAATGTAGTTATAACATCACAATGTGTAATTACATTTAATGGAGATGGTGAATATAAAAATAGATGTAGGTGTAGTTAGGTTTATTGTCCAGCTTGATGAGAAAATATGTAGTTATAGAATATACCAACTTTCTAGTATTCCATGTGCACATGTCATATGTGCAATTGGATATCTAGGTGAAAATATTAAAGATTTTATATATAGTTGGTATTATAAGAAGGTGTATTTATAGACTAATAGTAATACTTTAGAACCTATGCTTGAGAGACAAAATTGGGTCAAACTAAGGACAGAAGATAATGTTATACTTTTAGAGTTTAGGAATGCTAGGTAGGTGCAAAACCAATAGAAGAATGAACATGATAACCTCAAGAAAAAAAGGCCCAATAATTTAACAAATCTGTCTAGGAAGGGCATGATAATGACATGTAAACTATATCATCAACCAGGCGACAACAAAAGAAGTTGTCCTATGGTAGGCAATTAGATAATTTCATTCTATTTTGTTTTTATATATTATTATAAACATTATACTATTATAGATCCTCTCTTATTAAAATGTTATAACCTATCAACTCAACTTTATTGTTCTTTTCATGACAATAAAATTTTCATGTGCTCAGATCTGGAGATCAAAACATGAACCAAGGTGCATCAAGTAACGTAGATCCTATTGAAACTACTTACGGTCTAAGTAACCATGCCATTACTTCAACTACTGTTTACGGTGCTTCTGCATTAGTTTTTGCTTTTGCATTTGGATCTAGTTATGCATCTACATCTATTTCAGCCAATATCAATGGTTTTATATCTGTAACTACAACTGGATCTGCAAGAACCCTAAATCCAGTTTCAAATTCTATTTTCATTTTAGTTTCAACTCTAGCTTTAAATCCAGTTTCAGATCCAATTTCCATTTCAATTTCAACAAAAGTTTCAAATTAGATTAATGTTGCTTCTATTACTTGAAAATGCAAAATTGAAGTTTGAAAGGCCAACAAGATCTATTAGAATATGTTTTATAGATAAGGATGAGAGACTTTATAGGACGACTTGTGAAAAAATAAGTTTTTTTTATCAAAGTTTAACTTTTCTACAACAACCATTGGGAAGCGAACAATTTCAGCAAATAGCATTAGAAGTCAAAATGACAAACACACTGTTAAAGCTACCACCAGAAGCAAGACAAAAGGCATGTAAGGTTATGGACTATATATAAACTTAGAAACAGGGAGACAAATCTTAAATGTGAGTGATTCTGTACCAAACATATATATTTTTATTTTATTTCCTTAAATATTACCTACTATAACTTGATAAATTTTATTCAATAGCCTGAATTGAAAAGTCAAAAAGTGATAGTAGTTGGGACAAGTAGAGGCAAGAGGAAGGTTGTTGAGGATGTAATTGGTATTAAACAAAGTCAAGTTTTTGCTTTTAAAAAAAATAAGGGGAAATACAAAATTAAGAAATTAATGTTCTATTATATTTATTGTTGCTACTAGCTATTGATGTTAACTATTTTTTTTCTTATTAATGTTGTAAGAACACTTTCTATTCACCTTTCTATTGGCTAGATCTTTTTTGTACTAAATGTTGTGTAAGAATATTTTCTGTTGACATTTATAAGATTGCTTTGTTATAAGATTGCCTCTATTATCAGATTACCTCGCATTACTTTTAGTTACATATTACAAGTTGAATATATTGCACTAAACCACATTTTCACAGCTAATAAGATAAAGCAACAAAATTCATAGCTAATAATATTGATTCAATTACCATTGACATAATAAGAGTTTTAATAAACATTTATTGACCCTTATAACAATCCTAACCCAATATTAAGCATACAAGTTAAGTTTTCAAAATTTTTTGGCATTGAAAAATATTACACAAAACACAAGTATGAAAAGAATGAGATGAGCTAAATTATTTTTCAATTGCCATCTCTATCATGTCCACCACCTTTAATTTTGTTGCTTTCTTTCAATTTCAACCTAAAAAACCTAACTTCTTTTTCAGTTGCATATTTTCTGCAATAACATTAGTTTCGCCAACATTTTTCTTCAACTTTGAAACTGCATATTTCAAACTTTGAACATGATTATATAAAAAAAAATTTTTAACTCTAAAATAATCTCTTTTGCTTTTTAAAAAATTTTAAGATCATGCTATAAATGAAATTCACCAATAGTGTCCTACAATCACTCCAAAGAAATATTAACAAACAAATTCTAGCAATCATACCAAGAAAATATTAGGAAAGAAATACCAACAAAAACATCAAAGAAATACTAATAAAAACACCAAAAAATACTAGTAAATTTATCGGATAATGTGAACATCTATAAAATCTTCCACCAGGATTGTTATTCGTTCATGAAGTCTACCTAACTACCTTCATATTGTAGTAACAAAAAATGGGTTTTCCTTCAAAGTTTCATTCTACAGGATAATTAGCTAAAATTAACTTACATAAGACCCTCATCTAAAAACCTTGTAACTTTAATATTTTGAAGAACAAATTCAAAACAAATCAAAGCATGAGAAAAAACTCAAAATTTATACCAACCTTGAATTTACACTGTTAGATGAACTAATATTTGAAGAGAACATTGTGTGTAGATGTTATTTCAACAAAAAAAAAATCTCAATTTACGATGAAAAATGAGAAGAAATGAGGAGAAAACTTGTTTAGAAATGAGAAAACCTTAAGCTCAAGCTCTCTTACGTTATTACAAACAGAAAGGATAAAGAAAAATAGGATAAAAACATAATAAGCTTAGGAAAATAGTTAAAACCTTAGCTAGGCTATTGTTACACATGGATAAGTTAATTTCACATCATGTTTGTCTGTAATGGCTTTTACATGTGATCAATATAATAGCACATAACATGCACATCTTATTTTTTATTGAAATAAATCTTGTATTGTTACAAGTTGATAACGTTTGATCCTTATTTATATGAACTAAAACATTTGGTCATGGATTGATTAACCATTCAAACGTTTATTCCTGATTTGAACATTTAGCTAAAAAAAAAAAGCTAAGATATTAATATTGAAATTGAGATTTTTAGTAAGTTATACTGATCGAGTAAGATCATGTAATTTGGTAAAAAAAAATGCTATAAAAAAATTTAACAAGTATACACATTAAATGTACATCAATATTATATATATTATATTGCAAGATTATAGAACACATAAAAAAATTATTTAGCATATAATTTATTGAGTTCGTCTCTTAAACACCATCGAAGGAATTTTTTAAACTACATAAACAATATTAAAATTTATTACATGTTCTATTACTTTTTATATTAATTTTAATTTTTAATATAACTTAAACGAATACATGTTATTTTGCTAATCTCATTAGTGGCTCTAAAAACTAATCAATAGTGGATGAGATAAATTTCATTTTAAATCTCTTTCTTGCTAAATTGCATATTATTTTTATCGGATTACTAGATGTGTTTGAATAAATGATAAAACATTATGTAATTTTTTTTATTTTATATATTTTTCTGTAATTTCATTTTACATAATAAAAATTGCTGCTTATAGAAAGAAATAAGCATTGCTTGATCATTTTAATATTATTTTTTTCTTAAAAATAGTAACAACTTAAGTATTTCGATAATGAATAGATGTAAAGATAATAAAATGTTGTAATATTACTTTTTATTAAAAAGAGTAATAAACGAAGTAATTCGATAATAAATAAATGTAAAAGTAATAATCAGTAGTCAACACAACTTTTGGCTTATTCACAATAATAAAATAAGTAATTTTGTAAAAAAAAAAAAAAGTAACAGAAAGTTGTAATTTTTTGGCATTATTATAAATTTAAAAAACAATAAATTTAATAATACTAAATGCGAGGATAAGATTAAATGACAATATTATTTTATGTATGATGATGAGTAAGTATCAAAATAAAGCAGCAATACTGGTTTTGTAGTACCTATGATGACAAAATAAGTAATTTAACAACAAATAATGGTTAAGGCAAAAAAAATATACAGTATTACATTTTTGTTATGTAGAATAACAAATTAAGTAATTTGATAACAAATTAAGTAATTTGATAACAAATAAATTAAAATTTAATAAATTTAATAAAATAAGAAGGATTCATTTATATTAATGTAATTATTATATTTTTTGAAATTTTTAATCAAAATTATTAAATTTAAAAATATTATTTTAATTCAATTGAGTTATGAATTTAATTTCGATATAAAATTTCAAAAAATATATGAGTTATAATTGTGTAAATAAATCTCTATTTTAATAAAATATAGTATTACTAATTTATTTCACTACATATAATAACAAATTAAGTAATTTAATAATAAATATATGTAAAATTAACAAAATTTTTATTATTGCTTTCTATTATGTATAATAATAAATTAAATAATTTGGTAGTGGATAAATAGAAAAGTAACAAAATATAAGAATAATAAATTAAGTAATTTATCAATGATTGTTGATTCGAGTGACAAAAAATTTAATTTTTCTTAAGTAAAGTTTTAGTTCAAATATTCTGAATGAAAAAAAAAAAAGAATTGAGAGAACTTATTCTTTTTATAGGATCTGATTTGACTCGATTTTAAATTAGTCAGAGTTTAAAATAATTACTAGATATCAAAAAATTTTAAATAAAAAAATAAATTAAGTAATTTAATAATATATAATTGTAAGTATAACAAAAAAAAAATGTAATCTTTTTAAAAATTAATAACTAAATAAGAAAAAGGTATTTAAAAATTTGTTTTGTCTTTTTAACCGATGAGAAGCACGTTGGAAGCGCTCCAACCTTTTTCTTATTTGGTTACAATAACTTTTGCAATTATATGATTATTGTATATTTTTGGCCTATTGGGTATTATGGTATGTTGTCAAGACGAATGAGTTGATTACAGCCATAATGGTCCCAGGTAACCTTTTTTTTTTTGGTTTTTTTTTGTGTTTGTCCTATGGCTAATTGCTGAGATGCCTTGAAGTTGAACGTTAGCTGAAATTTAGAAGCAGTGGTTTTGTCTTTTCGAAATTTCCTACCCTGTTTCTGTTTCCTGACAGCGAGAGAGAGAGAGCAATGGAGGCCATAGTACTGTATCCATCACCAGGCATGGGGCATCTGATATCCATGGTGGAGCTAGGCAAGCTAATTCTAACCCACCACCCTGCCTTCGTCGTCATCATCCTCATCGCCAACCCTCCATTCAAATTAGGCTCCACCGCCTCATATATCGCCGCCGTCTCCGCAACTAACCCTTCCATCTCCTTCCACCAACTCCCTCTCATCTCTCTAGACCCCGCTTCTTACGACTGCGTCGAATCCCTCATGAGCGACCTCATCAACCTCAATAACGTCCATGTTGACGCCGCCCTGACTAAAATCTCCCTTACTTCAACCGTTCGCTCCCTCATTATCGATCTCTTCTGCTATCCAGCTCTTGAAATAGCCGCCAAACTTAAAATCCTAGCCTACTGTTTCTTCACTTCAAATGCAAGTTGCCTCGCTCTTTACCTTCACATACCTAGTATTTATCGAAACACAACAGAAAACTTCAAACATCTCAACACTCTTTTTCACCTTCCATGCTTGCCTCCTATCCCTTTAAACCATTTACCAGAGCCAACGCTTGTAAGAAACACCATAGAATGCGATTTCTTAATTAACTCCATGGCCCATTTGGCAAAATCAGCTGGAACCATCATTAACACATTCGAAACACTTGAGCCCAAGGCCTTCAAAGCGTTATCTGAAGGTTTTTCAATTCCAAATGGTCCAAGTCAAACACCCCCAGTTTTCTGTGTTGGACCGTTGATTGATACAAATAATGGAAGTAGAGGAAATGGTGATGGTGATGACGAAGGAGCGGAGTGTCTGAAGTGGCTTGACTCGCAACCGAGTCAAAGCGTTGTCTTCTTGTGTTTTGGTAGCATGGGGTTATTTTCCAAGGAACAATTGATGGAAATAGCTCTTGGGTTAGAGAGAAGTGGTCAAAGGTTCTTGTGGGTGGTGCGTAATCCACCTTCTAATAACAAAAAGCAGGGTTTTACGGAAGGGCAAGACCAAGCTTTGGATACTTTACTTCCAGAGGGTTTCCTGGATCGCACGAGTGACAGAGGGCTCGTAGTCAAGGCATGGGCACCACAAGTGGCGGTGCTGAGCCATGGCTCGGTAGGCGGGTTTGTGACTCACTGCGGGTGGAACTCGGTGCTTGAATCGATTTGTGCGGGAGTGCCAATGATTGCGTGGCCACTTTATGCGGAACAAAAGTTTAATAAAATTATATTAGTAGAGGAAATGAATCTGGCTTTAACTGTTAACGAGTCAGAGAACGGGTTGGTTGGCGCGGAGGAATTAGAAAAGCGAGTCAGGGAGTTGATGGAAACGGAGGAAGGCAAGTCGATCAGGGATCATGCGATGGCAAAGAGGGATGAGGCAGCAGCGGCGCTGAGCGAGGATGGGCCATCAGTTACTGCATTGGCCCAATTAATCAAGTGCTGGGCTCAAAAATAAATTTGGAGGTTGAGAATGGGAAGCCTGGCAATAATATTATTAAGTGAAAACAACTTCCACAAGCAAAAATGTTGTAAATACTTTTATTTATTGATTTGCGTTAGTTGTGATGTGGTCGTCCAATTGGATTTTTTTTTTAATATCCTTTTTGCCAATTTTTCGACGAAATGGAATGTCATGGTTTTTGTATCTGTGAATTGAATACATCAAGGTAATGGTATTTTTTTTTCCCCCTTGACGGCCTTCTTATTGCACAACCTCTGTTGATACCTTTATGCTCCCTTCCTACCAATATTTGGCGGTCTAAAGAGAGAAATGACCAAAGCTTCTAACCCTTGGATGTTGAAAAAAATGAATATTGTGTATTTTTTTTTTTTACCGTTTAAATTTAAAATTCGAAACTCTTCAAACAGACTTTAATATTAATATTAATGGAGTAGCAGCTAATCGATATTCCCTCTGCCCGAGTATTTTGTCACATGTTGACTGAACACACAGTTTAGGAAATCAAAACTTTCCCCTATAAAAAATTTGAATTGACTACATTATCCTTGAAAATGGGAGACCGGCAAAATGGGATAAAATATAAGAATTGAAGGCCAAAAATTTCTTGAATTTAGCACAAGTTAAAAGAACCTTAAATTTCATAAAAAAATTTAGCGTCAGATTAATCTTTTCAAAATTTTCCTAAAAGTTTTATCAACAATTTTAAATCATTATTTTTTCTCCTTTAAATTAAGAATTTGTCAATATTTTCCTTATCTTTTCTTGCTCCATTTTGCTGTCAGTTTCTAAAATCCTTTTACACCTCTAGTCTTTTACTCCATGATGGATTCTATAGATATCCATACTACAATGGAGTTTATAATGATAAATACAAATGGAAGACAACCAAATAAGCACTTAACTAGAAAGCAACGACAAGCTTTATTTGAATCTCTGTTAAAACAGAGTAGTGATGGAAAGTTGAAAAAAGGTTCTATAAGTAGAATTGTAGACATGTTTTTAGTCTCAACAAGGACTGTGATTAGGCTATGGAATCAAGCAAAACAATTTGTGGAAGAAAGTATTGAGTTTGATGTTAGCAATAAGTATCAACAAAGGGCTATTTAAAGACAAAGGATTTCCATTGACCTTGATCAAATCTTAGAAATTCCACTTCGTAGGCGAACAAATATTCAATCAATGGCCAAAGCTTTAGATATGTCAAAGTCGACTCTTCATCGTCGAATCAAGGAAGGTGTTATCAGGCCGTATACTAATGCTATAAAGCCTTATCTAGTTGATGCAAACAAAAGAGCAAGATCACAATTTTACATATTAATGATTGAGCAAGGTACTCTCACAACAAACCCTTTGTTTATTGATATGCTTAATGTAGTACACCTTGATGAAAAGTTGGTTTAATTGTCAAAAACATAAGAGAGATATTACTTTCATCCAAATAAGGTTGAACCTTTTCATACTTGTAAAAGTTTCATCACCAAAGTGATGTTTTAAGCTACAGTTGCTACTAGCTAGACCGGGTTTTGATGATTTTGGCAATTGTGAATTTTCTTAAAAAAAAAAAGGATTTTCCTATTTGTATACAAGGAACCAACTAGGCGTAATGGCAAAAATCAACTGGTTAGAACTTTAGAGACCAAACCTAATTTTTCAGTAACTAAAAATGTCACAAGGTCATGTTTAATTGATAAAATGTTACCAGCAATCGGAGCTAAATGGCCTCTTTCTAGTGAAAGAAGAATTTTCATTCAACAAAATAATGCAAAGCCACATATCCACATTGATGATGAACAATTTCTTCAAGCTGCAAGTGTGGATGGATTTGACTTTCAACTATTTTTTCAACCTCCAAATAGCCCTGATTTGAATGTATTGGATCTTGAATATTCTACAGCAATACAATCAATACAATCTTTATAGCATTAAGAAGCTCCTACAACAATTGATGAGTTAATGACAGCTATAGAAAAATCTTTTAATAAATTGTTACCAGGGAGTTTGAATAATGCGTTTTTGACGTTACAAGCTTGCATGGTTGAAATTATGAAAGTTAATGGAGGAAACAATTATAGATTACCACGTATGGGTAAGCAAAGGTTGGAAAGAAATGGAGAACTTCCCATCCAACTTCATTGTGACCAAGAAATTGTACAAGAAGCTTTGCTGCAGATTCAACTTCAAAGTTGAATGCAATAGAAATCTTGGATTTATGAAAAATATTTTTTGGTTTAATAGATAGTGATATTTTTGCATTTTTTAGAACATCAGAAATGCTACAATGCTAGATAGATATAATGATCTTTTTATATGTTTTTGTTTAACCATGACATTACTTTTTGTAAATCTTGACAATATATGGCTTAACTAAATATGGTGCCTTTGTATAAAGGTTAACTGGTATGGTTCCAATAAATATAAAAAGATTTTGTATAGATTTTACAAGCACTTTATAATGAAAAGTTTGTAATTGGTTGTAGAAGTTGTTTTCTTTAATTTTACTCAATTTCATTATTTAGTTGTTTCCTAAACCTTGAATTTGTTTTTAATTTTTGATTCACCTGTCTACTAAGTCTAAGGTGTAAGGAAAGTTGTAGTTATTATGTTGAAATTTTTTTAATAATTTTAAAATTGAAATATAATAAAGGAAAAAGAAGAAATATAGATATTAAAATTGATTGTCTTTTTAAAGTGACATTTTGAATGGGACAAATTTAAAAGTCTGACTACTTTATTGGAATGGAGAGAAGTGTTAAGTTGTGACTGTTGCATGCAAGTGTGAGCGAATTTTGCTTCATGTCCACACACCCATAGGGAATGACGGGATAATGATGAGTAATCAAGATTATTCCCAGGAACCTTGACTTGGGGCTGCGGATTCAAGTCTAATCAAGAAGCAAGCTCGCTGCTATCCTTTCTCCCTCTAAGGCCCAAATCCTTTCAATTTTTACAATTGAGTCAACAAAAAGAAAATACACATAGATCTCTAATAATATATCGATTGATCTCCAAGATGAAGTTTCTACATCGCTTTTCGATTTTTGGATACCATTTCATTGGAACCGCACCAGACTTCAGTCATTCCTTCTTCCACGCCTCAAAGAGTTTAGCTAGGGCCACACGAGAGGAACCTCCCCCACTCAACGCAGCCTCGGCTGCGTGTTTCATAGCTATGGTTCGCTTCCTAACCACGTTACCTGGTTCCGACTCCATCAATTCTCTAACTCGCTCCTCCACTTCATTTGAATTCACGAACCCCGTTTCTGACTCCACTATTGGCAAGGCTATCTCCATTTCCTCCACTAGCAACACTCGATTGAACCTTTGCTCTGCGTAGAGGGGCCACGCCAACATCGGAACGCCTGCGCAAATGGATTCCAGTACCGAGTTCCAGCCGCAGTGCGTCACGAACCCACCTACCGAATCATGATTCAACACCGCCACCTGTGGCGCCCATGACTTGACCACGTGTCCCCTCTCCTTAGTTCTCTCCAAGAATCCCTCAGGAAGTAAGGTGTTCAAATCTGGCTCGCCATGTTCCTTGATAGCCACGCTTAGGTTCTCTGAAGGAGGGCTCCTCACCACCCACAAGAACCTTTGCTTACTTCTCTCTAACCCCATAGCTATTTCCTTTAACTGTTCTGCTGAAAACCGTCCCAGGCTACCAAAACAGAGAAACACTACACTATTACTAGGTTGCTTGTCTAGCCACGTTAAGCAGTCAGGGACACCGTCACCACCTCTAACTCCACTTCTCCGATCAACGTCAGCAATCAACGGTCCGATGCAGTATATGGGAGGTGTGGGGCCATCTGGCACACAGAGTCCATCGCCAATTATTTTGATGACTCTTGGCTCGAGGGATTCAAAAGTGTTGACCATAATCCCAGCTGACTTGGGCAAGTAAAAGGAGTAATCTAAGAAGATATCATAGACCTTATCGTTGCGATCGAGTATTGGCTTTGGCATATCTGCAGATAGCATTGGTGGCACGCCCGGGATATCAAGCAGAACGTTGAGTTCTTTGAAGCTTTTGGTGGTGTTCTTGTGAAGGGTTGGTAGATAAAGGAAAGCAGCAAGAATAGCAACACCAGAGGTGATGAAGAAGTAAGGAGGGATACTGAGATCAGTCGCCACTCTGAAAGAAGCAGTGCAGAAAAAATCCATGACGAAGGCATGGATTTTGTACTCCTTGGAGATGGAAAGGAGAGCTTGAAGGACGTTGGGGTTGTTAAGGCGGAGGACCTCAAAAGTAAGGGACTCATGGTGGGTGACGGTGGATGGAGGGAGGGTGACTTTAGGTAGCTTATGAAAAATGATGGAAGGAACGGTGGAGGAGACGGCGGCAATAAATGGAGCAGTGGATTCAGCTTGGTAAGGTGGGGTAGCGATGAGGATGTGGATAGAGAGTGAAGGTTGATGAGTGCATAGGAGGTTGCCTAACTCCACCATGGCTATCAGGTGCCCAACTGGCGGTGATGGGTAGAGAACTATGGCTTCCTCCATTGATAAGGCCAACTGATAAAAAAAAAAAAAGAGCGGAACCAGCTTAATAACTGTATTGCTATGCGCAAAGCCGAATTTCCTCTATTCTATCCTTGCATCATCTAATCTAATCTACAACCTTATTAGAAGAAACCAAAAAAGTGAAACAAGTGGTCTATGTCTAGCCGCACCGCAGACTATATCCCTTTGCTAATCAAGATATCTAATCGACACGGAACTAGCTAAAAGAAAATTTTTTAAATTACATTCATAAACAAGTATTATATCTAAATAATTAATTAATTAATTATAATTTAATTAAATAATACCTCATGCTTATCAGAAAAATTTTTATTATTTATATCGACCTGATATGTCAGATCGATCTGACATAATTAGTACCACATTAGCTTGATCCTATTTAATTGCCTTCTTATAATCCCTATCAGTTTATTTATAAATATTAAGATTCAAGCATCATGAAGTTAGGTTCATCTTACTTATTTTTTTTCTCTCCTTTTCACTTTTTTTTTTATTTGATCTCTACTGACTTACACATTGGAGTACAAACGTAGGGAACACCCTTTGCCTTTGTCTCTAATCGTCATTCTCTTTTGTATTCACAAGAATACCCTCAAGTCGAAGCTCAACACCAACATTTGACGCACTAGGTAGGGGTCATCCCGTATTAGCGAGCACAAAACAATACCACAAAAAAAAAAAAAACCCAAAAGGAAGGAGAGGTAACCGCCCTGGTTGGAACAAAAACTCACCTTAACCAGCATTCTGTTTGTCTAGCTCAACCACAGGTAGAACCGACCATGGAATAATTTTAAGCCCTGACAGAACAAATACAACCTCTCAAGTAGATAATATGAACTATAACCCCACCACAAGTCTCAAAAGTGTTGAACTTAATCACACTTGGTTGAGAAACTGTTGTCAGATAATTGAGCTACGAAGAGGTTTAAGCCTTTTTAGCCTTCAGGGAAGAAAAACACACAAAGCCAACTCATCACTACCTTAGCCATAATTTCACACATGCAATAACCCAAAAATCCAAATAAAACAGACCATGAATTTCAATCAAATAGGGATTTAGAAGCTCGAATGCAAGCCATGAAAAATAAACTGAAAACGAAGATAGTGGTATTTGAGGATGAGCTTAAGTTCTTGGAAATCTCACATTTTATTGAAGAAATTGACAAAGCCATACCTCCTAAAGGATTTAAAATGACAACCTTGGAGACATATGATGGTACTTCCAACCCTTTTGATCATTTGGAATATTATAGAACTAACATGATGATACATGGGGCAAACGAGGCTCTAATGTGTAAAGGTCTAGCTACTATGTTAAAAGGCACAGCTCGATTTTGGTACAACAGTCTAGAATCAAGGTCAATCACTACATTCAAAGAGCTCAGCTACTCGTTTCTATATAGATTTGTGAGTAGCCAAAGAGTAAAAAAAATGACCTTAAGCTTGATGTCAATTCACCAAAGGCAGAATGAAACTTTGAAAAGTTATGTCATGCATTTTAACACAGAAGCTCTACAGGTTAAAGACTTGAAACAGACGGCTACTATTACCATATTGACAAGCAGATTCAATGATAAGGAGTACAATTTAAAGTTGACATTGTCGCTAAAACCACTAAAAACTTAGGTTGACGTCCTGTTAATAGCAGAGAAATACATTAATATTGAAGCTACAATGAAAACAAATTGAGGTGAGAAAGGCTCATCCTGACCTTAAATGGCCTAAGCCACTGAGATAAAACACAAGAGGGGATCTGACAAAAAATATACCTTTCACAAGGACATCAACCATAATACCAAAGATTATGTTGACCTAAAAAATAAGATTGAAGCTCTGATAAGGTGAGGTCAATGAAAGAGATTTATGCGACACAAAAGATAAGACGAACTTATAATGAACTATAGATAAGGCCATAAAGGGCCCACCTAAGGTAGAGAGGAAATAATAGAACAGGGAAGAAGGGATGCGCGAGAAAAATGATCAAATTAAGAAAAAGGCTGAGCGGATAATAATAGGCTAATTGTTAGGGTGATTAACGTGATCATAAGAGGTAGCTCTATCTTGAAAAAAAGAAGTTTAACTTGGGTATGGTAATGGCAGTAAGCACTTCGGCTAAAAAAAAGACTGGAAAGATTAGCGTATCTCATTTAGCTTAGAAGATCTAGAAGGAATCTAACACCTACACAACGATACCATAGTGATCACAGCCTTAGTGTATAACTATGTAGTCAAAAAAATCCTATTTGATATTCCAAATTCAACCGACGTCATGTATTATGGCTATTTAAAGAAAATAAGGATTAGCGAAAATTAGTTAAAGCCAATCACCATCACATTAGTGGGCTTTGGGAATGAGTAGGTGCCCATAAGAGGAACTATTAAGCTTCTAATCTCTTTAAGGATTGAATAGAAGATAATTACCTCGATCATAAAATTTATGGTAGTGGATGTTTTATTTACTTATAACATGATATTAGGTCGACCTAGCCAATCTGTCATGCGACTTATAGGCTCAACTTTCCATTTAAAAGTGAAATTCCCAACACCTGGAGAGGTTAAAAAAGTTTGAAGAGATTAGTCTATGGCTTGGTAATATTATGTCACAATAATGAAGGGGAGGACTGGGAAGCAGATAGGTAGCTTTATCGATACCAAGGTTGAAAGCAAAAAAAAACCAACACTATGAACTAGCAAGAACTAGGAAATCACCAACAAAAGCACAAAACGTAAAAGTGACTTGGGAGAAGCTTGCTCTTAAGCTGTTTTAAGTTTTTGAGCTCTAAAAAACTTTGATTTTGTTCTATTTCTTGAATTTTTTAAACAATATTAGAAATGACTGAGCTTTTAAGTCGGTGTAAATAATTTGATATTACTTGGATCGAGTTAACACACCAACCAAAACATAGCATAGAATGAAGAATATACTTCACTTTTACGTTCAACAAGTTTTTTAATATACTAATCATCATGTCGAAATCTATTTTCGTAAGAAATGAACTTGACCTAATGGAACCAAAAGAGATAGTCAATTAAAAACCAGACTCGAACGTAAATCAACCCTAGCCAGTTGAAGACCTCATGACAATTTTGTTCTAAAACAACATTCTTTAAAAATACATACAGATCAAAGTTAAGCTCCAACATAAAGACCAATTGATTCAATTCATAAAAAATAATGCTGACATGTTTGGTTAGACATTATCTGATATGTCCAAAATTGATACCAAAGTGATGGTCCATAGATTACACACTAATCTTGAGGTAAAACTAGTTCGATAAAAGAAAAAAACTTTTGCCCTCAAAAGACAACAGACCATTGAGGAAGAAGTTGATAAATTATTGTGAGTTGACTTTATCAGAGAGGTTTATTACCCTGAGTGAATAGCTAATGTGGTCATAATCCAAAACCAAAATGAAAAATAAAAAATGTGTGTGAATTTTACTGACCTAAATAAAGTTTACCTGAAAGATAGCTTCTTTCTCCCTAGCATAGATTGATTAATAGATAATAGTACTGAGCATTACCTTCTTAGTTTCATGGATGCCTATTTTGGCTATAATTAGATCAAAATGTTGAAAGAGGATGAGGATGAAATAGCCTTTGTTATTGAAAAAGGCATTTACTGTTATAAAATCATACCCTTCGAATTAAAAAAATATTGGGGTGACCTACCAAAGATTAGTGAACAAGGTGTTTAATGACTAGATCAATCATAATATAGAAGTATATGTAGATGACATGATAGTCAAAAACAAGAGTTTGATCGAGCATTTCGAAGACCTTAAAAAAACTTTCAACATTTTAAAAAAGTATAATATGAGACTTAACTCAAGCAAATATGCTTTTAAAGTTACATTACGCAAGTTTTTTAGTTACATGATCAACCGAATGGGGATAAAAGTGAATCTCGAAAAGGTTCAAGTGATCCTAGAAATGAAGGCACCGACCTCAGTAAAAGAAGTATAGAGGTTAACAAGCAAAATAATCATGCTCAATTGATTCATGTCTAGGTTGACGAAATGATATCTACCATTTTTCAAAATTCTCAGGAATGTCTCTAACTTTAGATGGACTCCTCAATGCCAAAAAGTTTTTAATAAACTCAAAGAGTTCTTATCCTCCTCGCTTATCCTATTTAAATTAAGGACTAGCAAAATGCTATACTTATACTTAGCCAGCATGGATCAAGCTATCAGCTTAGTTCTAGTCTAAAAAGAATAAAAAAAATAACGATTGATCTATTTTGTAAGTAAAGTATTAATAGGGCCTAAAGTTAACTATAGTAGCATAAAAAAATTGGGCTATGCCATTGTCACCTCGGCTAGGAAACTTAAGCCATACTTTTAAGCCCACATGATCCACGTCCTGACTGATCAGCCACTAAGGTAAGTTTTATAGAAGCCTGAAATGTCATGAAGGCTAATTAAATAAGCAGTAGAGTTCAGTGACTTTGATCTACATATTTTAGTTAGATTGGCATTAAAATCATAGGTGTTGGTAAATTTTATCATAGAGCGTATTTCAATATACAAGAAAGACAGTCTGAGAAACAAAACTCTAGATAAGGATGATTAGACGCTCTATGTCAATTAATTAACTGCAAACAATGGCAAGGAGTCAGTCTCATTTTAATTAGCCCAGAAGGGCTACAGTGCCCATACGCTTTTAGATTCAAGTTCAGGGCATTTAACAATGAAGTGAAATATGAGGCATTGATAGTTGCCTAAAGTTGACAATCGAGCTAAATGTTTAACATATAATCGCTTATAATGACTTTCAACTGGTGGTTGGTCAGATAAACAGAGAGTTCAGAGCTCGAGAAGATGAAATTCAAAAGTATCTTGATAAAGCACTAGCCTTAATAGTTGACTTTAAGAAAGCTGAGGTGAAAAAGATACAAAGATAAAAAAATTCAATAGTAGATTTCCTATTTAAGTTGGCCTCAGGAGCAGTAATAGGAGGTCCAAACCAAGTTCTAGTAGAAGAACTAGCATATAAAAGCACTGAAGAC